ATGGAAACAGGAAGTCGGTGGGACCCTTTCCCCCACCCGACGTGGGGGTCTGTTCTGTGTGGCTCTTTTCCTCTCCCCACATGGGAGTCTGTACTTGTTCTTCAATAAATCTCCACCTTTGCTATACCACTTTCTGTCCGTGGATTCATTCTTCGACTCCAGTGGACAAAGAATCCGGGTTCCAGTCCAAAGATTCCGTATCATTATCAAAACCACAAGGCTATTAATTTTTACTTTGGATAATTTATGAAATAATTTATATCCAGTTTTTATAGCTTGTTTGTGTGCATGGTAATCTCTGTAACATATCAATTTTTGCTAAGTATGTTTTTAGTTAAAAGCATTCATTTAAACAACACTTTTATAGTAAATTTTAAAATTGTGATACTGTCAAATGAGTATTTATTTTTAGTCAAACCAGATTATTTTAGGTAAGTGATAAACAATGTAAGAACGTTTATCCTTACAGTTGGGGAGGGGAAGAAACACAAAGGTTTCTTTTGACTTAGCTGGGAGTTGTTAGCAGTTATGGAAGTAATCATCTCTTAGCCTCATCTTATGAATTTCTGCCAGAGATTTTGGCACACATCCATAACTATTAAAGATGTTTTGTAGCTAACCTAACTTTAAAACAATCACCGACCTCAATCAGCAGACAATTTTATTTGTTTTCCTATTTAACTTGTTCTGGAAAATTGAAGGGAAAATAAAAATCAGTTCAAGAAAGCAGCCAACAGAGACTATCCCTAACATCTGTTAGTGAAATGTTTATACGAAATCCAACATTTTGTTTTCATAAGAAGAGTTATTGAGTGCAAGTTTTAAAAAATTAAAACTGAATGCCAAGAGTAGGAAGGCTGAAACAAGATAGAAATCTTATAATACATAAATTTTTGATAAAGATTTAGAACTTTGTCTTTAATAAGTTTAACAAAAGTAACCACACGTTTTAGTTCTTTTTACTTAATTAAAAGCAAACCTTGAAGTGAATAGAATTAGAGGAAAGAAGGTAGCTAGGAGGAGATGCTTAAAAATCACAAAAATAAATATTCAACTACCTATTTATTAATTCATGAAAACGAATCCTCATTTTAATTTTTGTTTTGTTTTTACCTTTATAGTTTTGCCAATTCAACCAATCCTCACTTTTTTAGTGTCTGGGACACATTATTTTTTTCTGTTCAAATATATACATATAAAAATTATGAGGGACTTCCAATCTGAAGTTAACAGCTATTATTTTCCACAGAACTTTTAAAGTGATTTTCGAAAATTTAAGAAACTTTTCTCAAAGGAATGTTAAGCAAGTGGAAAAATTGAAAAGGTGGGAAATGATTTAACCCAGTCCTAACCTTCCAACCTCAGGCTGAATGAATGTTCACCTCGAATGAAAGCTGGCCCAAGCCTCCTCAAGAAAATAAACACACTCAGTGGGCCCTGCAGTGTTTGAAAAGTTCAAAGATATGATGATGCGAAGGGAACACAGAAGATCTTTTCCTATTTTGCCCAGACTTTTCCTTCAGCTTGTTTCAAGGGAATATGAGTCTTCATTGTTTTGTCTAAATAGTACTAAAATCCTTTAAAAATGACAAACACCAGTCCTCATTGGAATTTCTCTGAGGGCACTAATTTACATGTTGCTAAAGGAGAAAAGAGACTTTTTCAAAGTGTGCTTTGAAAGTTTCACAGAATAATGGTTTGGAATCAGAATCACCGGCAAAAAAAAGAAAATCCTATTATTTAGATGTAGGTAGAAAGCAACAAGAATACATGAGGCCTTGGCTTCCCCAGCTCACTTAGGAGGGATCTGGCTTGGCCAGCTTAGTCCTTCCCTTCCTCTGCTCTCTGAAGATCCGGACCCCGCCTGTAGACTATGGTCTACACAATAAAACTGGGGAAGGAGAGGAGAAGCTGGAAAAGAAAGGCACGGGGGCAGGGGGGAGGGGGGTAGTTAGAGGAACATGGTACATATTCTGGTTTGGGACAGAAGTATATGGGAAGGAGAAGAAGGTTATTTAAAAAGATTGCTTAGTCCCCTGCCTATGAACCAGGAGGTCATGGTTCAATTCCCTGTTAGGACACATGCCAGGGTTGCGGGCTTGATCCCCAGTGTGGAATGTGCAGGAGGCAATTGATCAATGATTCTCTCATCATTGATGTTTCTGTCTCTCTCTACCTCTTCTTTCCTCTCTGAAATCAATAAAAAAAATTTTTTTTAATGGTACACTACCATAGAGAATTGTTGTAAGAGTCAAATAAGTTAACATTTGTAAGGTGCTAGGAATGTCGCCTAACGTCTAAGTGCTTAATAAATGTCATCTATTGTTCTTTCTCCTTCCTTCTTTCCTTCCTTCCTTCCTTCCTTCCTTCCTTCCTTCCTTCCTTCCTTCCTTCCTTCCTTCCTTCCCTCCTTCCTTCTCCTTCCTCCCTTCCTTCCTTTCTTCCTTCCTTCCTTTTTTTCCTTTCTTTCGAGATGGATTGCCCAGGGATTTAACCCGAAACCTAAGTATGTGCCCTGACCAGGAATCGAACCTGAGACCTTTCAATCTATGGGACTTTCCAACCAACTGAGCCACACCAGCCAGGTCTCTTGTTCTTTCTTAAGAGCCCATTAAGATCCTGTTCTCCAACTCACTTCCTCCTCTCTACCATAAGGCTGGGGAGAAGGTATGACTTTTCTTAAACATTTGCATCAGCTATGATTCATTTCCGTTTCCCTCATAGTCAAGGTTTCCAGATGTGGAAAGGCTGGAAATACACTGCTTTTTTCTCTCTGGTTTTGGCTTCGTACATCCCCTCCTGAGGCAAAGAACTCTTGGCTGCATAAGGTGGGGGAGGACAAATATTCCAAAACATTGTCTTGTACGGTACACAATTCTCAGTCTATAGATGGAAACTGATGAGTAAATAGATGGAATGATGTTACATCATGGGCAATACCTAAATTTCTGGCATGAGTGACCATGTGGATTGTGGTGTTTTTCACTGTAATAGGATATATAGAAAGAAAACAATGTTTAGGGGTAAACATATGAGTTTATTTTTGCCTATGAGTTTGTGGTTTTTATAGGAAATGGAGATATAGATAACCTATAGAAAGAGCAGTTTATGGATTTAATCTCATCATCATCACTGTATAATCTCAGGAGACAAATTAGAGCTGGATATACAGATTTAGGACTTTTTAGCAAATAAATGGTTGTTGAATGAATGAGAGTATAAGAAATTATATAGAAAGGAGTTAGTTGAGTCAGAAAAGCCATTTCTGGATGGTTGATGGATGGATGGGAAGAACCCACAAGGGTTACAGAATGAAGATTAGTCATGTCACACAATCCAGGGAAGTCAACAGAGTCGGATGTCAGAGAGAGATTAAGTAAGATAAACACTGAAAATTGTCCATTGGATAAGGCAACAGTGGGATCATTTTTGCCTTGGCAAAAACAGGCTTGTAGATCTTACAAAGACAGAGGCAGATGATAGCATGAACAGCGAAACAGCACTCCTAGTACATTGTAGAAACATATTCAAGAAATAACCGTTAGGTTTTTATGATCAGTTTAATTTGGTCTTAGGTTATTTCATATATGAGTTGGGGGTGAATAATGAGTAGCAGCAGTTGGGTCATTTTACCTAAATTGTTTTCTTAAGCTAACCAGCAAGCATGCTTTGTATTCTGACTTTGAAATAATTAATACCAGTCCAGTATTGCATACTTATGACACCTTCCCCAGTGAATTGCTTGCCTTCAGGAACCCTTCATTAGTGTTGGTTTGACCTGACCCCATTTACTGGATTCCTCTCAATAGTATACAATGCGGAAGGGTATTATTTATGCATTGAACAAATATTTATTCTGCCTTGATTTATGCTAGGTACTATTTTAGGTGTTCGGGCTATATCAGAGAGTACAACAGGTAAAAATCTTTCACTGTAGCATTTATATTTCAGATATATATACTTATAGGAAATGATTTAAATTATTTTTAAATATGGTCATGAAATTGACGGTAGAATGACATCCATAACACAAAATTATACATATCAAAGATTGAATTAGAAAGTTTTAATTCCTGGTTCTGCTACTTGGTTGTTCCAGTCTTAGTATGTCTATTCATAAGGTATATGAAAGTCAATAACTATGTTGTATACCTGATGCTAATAGAATATTGTATGTCAACTGTAATTGAAAAATAAATTTTAAAATCTTTAAAAGAAAGTAAGAGATCAACCGAAGGACTTGTATGCATGAGGTAGGGGAGGGGGCGGGGGGTAAGGGAGGGCGGGGGGGAGGTCAATGGGGAAAAAAAGGAGACATGTGTACTACTATTTGTAATACTTTAAACAATAAAATAAAATTTAAAAAAAGTAATGTCTAGTACAGCAGGTCACTCTGAATATTGAATTTTATAGAATAAAAGTAAAGTATGTATGAACACTTTTAAAGTGAAATTTTATATAAGGTTATGGGCATGATGATATCACCATCATCATCATCACTGTATAACTCTCAGATCACATTAGCCACCATAATTACCATAATGACCCATTTTCATATGATGAAGGTACAGTCAGGGATAAGGTCCTAAAGTAGTTTATATCCTTGAAAGAGGTGCTAAAAATTAGTAGTTTTTACTTGGGGGACAATATCCTCTGACACAAGATTATATATTAGCTGAATTAAGGACATACACTCTTGTTTAACAGTGGGGCTTGTGAAAGGGTGTTGTCTTTTAGGGAACCCTAATAGATTTATGGGTTCTGCTTTGGGAAATGCTTAAAAGGTAAAACCACAATACAGAACACGGAAGAGACATATAATGGTTTGGCATGGTTTTTCTTATATTGATACTTTAAAACTTATGTGCTGAGAATTATATGAAACTGTCACCAAACTTGAGGCCTGTTTTCTTTAATATGGCATCCCGTGCATCCCATTCAAACATTTTAAAAAGACCTCTTGCACTATTTTAATTATCCTATCTGTTTTAATCTTCCAGGTCCTAAGACCTTTGGATTGTCTGACCCAAAAGACCATCAAGTAATCACAGCAATAGAGTATCAAGGTAGAGTACCTTACTGCTTTTCACAGACTGTTTTGTATAAATGACCCAAGAGTATGGCACATGTGAAGTTATCTTTCTGTTTGTCCAGACCTTCTGCCTCACCTCACAGTAATTCTTCTGCCTAAAATGCCATTTCTGCCTTGGGAACTCTTTTTCCACCTCCTCAGTGGAAATTTTGGATATGCGATGGAAGACCTGATGTACAAGGAAGGTCTCTTATTGCGTAAATTATCTGGAACAAAGCAAATCTAATTTGTGAAACTGGGGAGATGGAGATCTTGAAAGTTTCCAGTCAGGTAGATGTGGTAAATGGAGATTAACACCGCAAACCTCATGCTATTTAATGTATTTAAAATGGCATGAATATAGCCTATTTTGAGGTGCCATTTTGCTGTTTATTTTAGCTTCTTCAAAATATTTTAGTTTCAGTTTTGCGAGATGAAAATGTTCTGGAGGTTGGTTGCTCAACAATGTGAATATACTTACCATGATTGAACTGTACAATTAAAAATCAAGATGTTGCGCTAGCTGTTTTGACTCAATGGATAGAGTGTTGGCCTGTGGACCAAAGGGTCCCGGGGTTGATTTCGGCCAAGGGCACATGCCTGGGTTGTGGGCTTGATCCCCAGAGGGGGGGGGGGTGCTGGAGGCAGCAGATCAATGATTCTCTCTCATCATTGATGTTTCTATCTCTCCCTCTCCCTTCTTCTCTGAAATTAAAAATATATTTTAGAAAATCAAGATTTTAAATTATGTCTATTTTACCACAATTTAAAAAAATGTTAATGGTTTTAATAGCCAACAATTTATAAGGCTTTTATAAGTTTACCTCAAATATTGACTATCTACTACTTTTCTGAAGTCTCTTTTACCTGGAACACAATAATCCTAGGAAAATAGAAGAATGACTGTTTCTTAAATGTCATACTTGTTGAGGCAGAGATGGTAAGCATTTAAGAAACAAGTCCTGATGTCTGATCCCTCTCCTTTAGGCATGTCTTAGGTTCCCAGAGGTAGAGAGGGATAGTTTAAAGGAAAGAGCAAAAATTATAGGTGAGGACTGGGGTGTGGAGGAATTAAATGAATTATTAGTATTTAACCAGTGCTTACAATAGTACTTGGCACATTGTGTTATCTGTGATTATTTAGTAAAAACATGCTATAATAAGAGTCAGCCTATCATTCAAAAATAACATCACTTAATAACAAATTACTTAAGTATTTAGAAAGTTCTAATATTTTACATGAGTAAGCTAATACAATACTCTTATCATGGCTTAGTTTTAAATGGGCAGAGGTGGGAGGAAGAAATGAAAGATTGGAAGTAATTTGGAACTATGGGACGTACGTAGAGGAAGGATGAGCAGGTCTGGAAGAGGTACCAAAGACACTGTCAAGGCCAAAACAGTGAGCTCATTGAGAGGAAGATGGGTCAGGATGCTCATGAGGGACAAGGAATGAAGTTAGTTTCTCCTACTTTTTACTTTCCTGGAGGTTCTAACTGTTGAGTGCAACAGGATACCATGGATATACATCCATCCCTGCCCCCTCGGCCCTATGCCATGATATCTGAATTAGAATGCAAGTTATATTCTTTAGTCTTACATTCCTTTCTAAAAAACTTACTGAGCTCTGGTTGGTGGGCTCAGTGGTTAGAGCATCAGCCCTCACCCCAAGGGATCACAGGTTCGATTCCCCTGGCCTGGTCTGGGCACATGCAGGAGGCAACCAATCTATGTCTCTCTCACATCAGTGTTTCTATCTTTCTCTCTCTCCCTCCCTTCCAGTCTCTCTAAATATCAATGGAAAAAAATACCCTCAGGTGAGGATTAACAAAATAATAATAATGATAATAAATAAAAAACTTATTCAGGCTAAATTCACATAACATAAAATCCACTGTGTTAAAGTAAACAATTTAGTGGCATTTGTACATTCACAATGTTGTGCAACCACTACCTCCATCTAGTTTCAAAACATCGCTCCATACTAAAACTCTGTACCATTTACTTTACTTTTTAAAAAATATGTTTTTATTGATTTTAGATAAAGAGGAAGGGAGAGGGAGAGAGAGAGAAACATTGATGTGAGAGAGAAACATCAATCGGCTACCTCCTGCATCCTCCCTGCTGGGCATTAAGCCCACAATCCGAGCATGTGCCCTGACTGGGAATCGAACTGGTGACCTCTCGGTGTATGGGATGATGCTCAACCAACTGAGCCACACCAGCCAGGGCTACATTACATTTTTTTAAAAATATATTTTATTGATTTTTTACAGAGAGGAAGGGAGAGGGACAGAGAGTCAGAAACATCGATGAGAGAGAAACACCGATTAGCTGCCTCCTGCACACCCCCTACTGGGGATGTGCCCGCCACCAAGGTACATGCCCTTGACCGGGATCAAACCCAGGACCCTTCAGTCCCCAGGCCGACGCTCTATCCACTGAGCCAAACCTATCAGGGCTACGTTACTTTTTAATGTGTGTTTTATGTTTACTGCAGAAAATTCTTCTATAATTTATTGCAATCAAATGTTAGTCTTAGTCCCAAGTAAGTATTTTCTATCTTTTTGTTTCACCTCTGCTCCTTTTAATTAAGAATTACATTTTGGTTCCATTTTCTATGTGCCCCAATCATTCCAACTTGGCTCTCCATAAAGCAAAAATAAATTTCTATCTTCTACCACTTTTTAGTTTTAGAATATTGCATATAGTAACTTGATTTCACTTGCAGTCTAAAATATTTTGTGATTTATGTATATGTGTGTTCCATCCAATTCATTCAGCTTCTTGTCTCTATCATTCTGATGTCAATACCAGTAAATCATGAATTAATTCCTTCTTTCCAGTACTGCTGTTCTGTATCACTTCCCATAGTGGAGCTAAAAACAGAATAAGACCAAAAAAAGGGCGCCTCTGTCAGGCTTATAAATTATATGAACAGCCTTATGTCGAGTGTCCAACCCCGAGAGCTATAAATTAGGGTTTAATAGGATGCTTTTCTCCACAGAAGTAATTTGAATTCTTCACAATTACTTTAGTAGTATCAATTCTCTTCTTGCATTATATAAGATTTTGATGATTTTTAACTTGAGCACAGAGAAGAAAACCAGAAGATAGTCAGCAGTACAGAATCCTAGAAAAACTAAAATTCATAGTGTAGCAAAATATTTGTTCTAATCAAAACACAGAATTAGCCCTCCCTGGTGTGGCTCAGTTGATTGGGCATTGTCCCGTGCACCAAAAGGTTGCCAGTTCAATTCCTGGTCAGGGCACATGCCCATGCTGTGGGCTCAATCCCCAGTAGAGGGCATGCAGGAGGCAGCCAATTGATTTTTTTTTAAATATGTTTTTATTGATTTCAGAGAGGAAGGGAGAGGGAGAGAGAGATAGAAACACTAATGATAAGAGAGAATCATTGATCTAGCCAATTGATGCTTTGCTCTCACATCAATGTTTCTCTGTCTTTCTCTCTCCCTTTCTCTCTCTAAAAAAAAAGCAATAAAAAAACAGGCACTAAACTTTAAAAAAAACAAACAAGAATTACCTTTTCTAAATCTAAATGAAATAACATCTTAATGGAAAAACTTGGTGCATTTTTTTTGTTTCAATATGTCTTATTTTGAGAAAATATGATTTATCTCTATATAATTTTCTTTGCTGTCTCAGAGGTAACATTATAGTTCAAATCTAAGTGATTTTTTAGGTAAATTTGTAATTGTAATAAAGTGTGGATTTCTGTCATGCCGAGGCAGTCTTACCACTACAACTAAGAGAAGCTCCTCATGTATGAAAGTAGTAATGACCATTTATGGCGCATGTACTATATGAAAAGTGCCATGTGCACCCAAGTACATAAATACATCATCCCATTTAAACCTTACAACAACTTTACCTATTGTGCAAGTTAGGTAATTTGCACAATATCACACAGCTGGTATTTGTCAAAGGTCTAACTTCAAAGCCTGTGCTAAACTACTGTATGCTGATGTAATGACCCTGAGGGCTAGATGCAGAATGATGCTGGCCTTGAGTGTTGACTTTTGGCTGAGAAGAAAAAGGAGAGTCCATGGCAGTTTATCTTTTAAGTTCACTTGGTTCTTTATACTCAGATGTTGACCTCAGATTTACTGTTCCTCACGGGTCTAGGGGTCAAGGTGCTGGCACCTCAGGATCTGGGCCCTGGCTCATCCCTTGCTTAGTGCACTCCCAAAGAACCACATGGCAAATTCCAAATTGGAATTCTAGGACATTCTAGTTAGAATTCTAAGGAATTCTTTCCATCTTT